GTTCTCATAAAATTACTACTTTATTCTCCTAATATTACGACTTTATTCTTGTTTTTTTTATTTTTTTTTTTTTTTTATATTACGACTTTATTCTTGTCATATTACGACTTTATTCTCCTAATATTACGACTTTATTCTTGTCATATTACGACTTTATTCTCCTAATATTATGACTTTATTCTTGTCTCCATTCTCCGTGTGTGTGTTGATCGGTATGTGCTTGTACACTAGTTATTAGTTCACGGCCTGAGGCCGATCAATAGGCTGAGAGGAGAGGTGGAGCAGGGGGAGAACCGAGAATGGGAGTGAATTGAAGAGCGAGAGAAGAGGAGGTGATTCTCAACACTTCTCACGCAACCTTTCTGTAGCGAATAATCTCATCCTCGGCCTGTAGTTGTGCCACTGCGTAGTCTGGAGATTAGAGCAGGTGTGTATGTGCTTAAGATCTTCCTGCTGTATTGGACTTGATGTTGGTGCCCTAGAAAGCCATTGCACCTTACACACAGAGCCAATTAGCACCGAGCTATTGTGTCTGAAATAGCTTCAGCCACCAGATCCTAATAACAGCGGTCAGCCTAGAAAATCCTGAGCAGTTAATCCAATTAGAGTCAACACACAGGGATCCCGAGCATTAAATCCAATAACAGTGAACGTACAGGAATGTCTATTAGTGTGAGCCACGCTTACTTTTACCTACTGAGTTAGAGAGCAGCACCTTCTCACCTGTTCATTTTCTGCTATTTGCCAAAATGTAGTTCTGTTTATGGAAACCTCAGCCTGCTTCCAGACCCCAGAGCTCATATTCTATCAATGCTAATTAATGACCGTAACCTGGCTATGCTTTAAACTAATAAAATCCTGCCCCTCCTGTGTGAGGCGTCCTCACATGTATTGCAGCGCAGCGTGGAACAAGTGTATTTGAGTAGATCTCTTAATGTGACATGCATATAGGAGCGGTAATTAGCAGGCTCACTAGCTTTAATTAGTGGGTTTAAATGGAGGAAAGCCATCGCTAGCTGTCCTTTTTGATGTGCGTGTGGGAGATGTTATGCAAATGGAGTGGCTTTTGTTCTGTGTTTGTACGTGTGTTTAAAAGAAGGGCACATGTGAAGATGGAGCAGCACTGGTGATCTCAAGAGGTTAAACCAATGCTAAAGCTCACAGAGCACCAAATATAGGGATCTCTATGCATGTAACGTGTGTGTGTGTGTGTGTGTGTGTGGTTATCTGTGTGTCTTTGTACAGCAGTGAGAGATACAGATGGCACAAGAGATGAGAGGTGGAGGAACTGTGCTAATTATGCTCCCCCCCCCCCTCCTCTCGAGCGTAGTATGGCATATTCCCTTATGTATTGCAATCTAATAACCAGTTGTTCTGTGAAAAGCATGAAATCAGAGTCTATTCATGCACCAGGCTCTTCAGCTCGCATTATGTAACCTGCTGAAGACCATCTTGAAATGAAACGTTGTCAGTCATGCTCACAATATGAATAAAGGAGTAAACTCTTGGGAGTGTCGCAGCATTGTGTGTGTGTGTGTGTGTGTGTGTGTGTGTGTGTGTGTGTGTGTGTGTGGTCAGAGTGGCCCTGCAGGTGCCGTTTTTAAAAGAATTCATCTTTTTTTTTTTTTTTTTTTGTGCCTTCCTTCTGCAAAAATATTCTGTGCCATTCCTCAACAGCCTTTGTCAGTTTGTCCTGGCATGTAACTTCCTCTTTAGATTGTTCACTCTACATTTTCAGTCCGTACTGAAGCCTCCCAGAGTAGGTTCCTCCTGGTGGTTGCTGCTGCACACAACCACTGTAAACGGTTGGAAAACGCCATTCACCTGAGGTGCTTTTCCCAACACTGGTGCTGTAATGATGAGTTGATCAGCAAAATATTAAAGAGCATCAACACCGTTTGTTATTAAATTCATTAATCAAGCAAAAATACCTGAAATCTTTTAGATTACAGCTCCTCACGTTTTCTCTTTATATCATTTTAGATATCATTTTTGGACTTTTGGGCTATTGGATGGACAAAATAAACTATTTTATTATGTCAGCTTGACTCTAATAAGCGTTTTCTCCATTTCCTAACATTTTATAGACAAATTATGAATCAGTTAATCATAAAAGGAACCAACAGATGAACTGATGATGACATTGTTAGTTCTAGTCTTACTAACCACCACTACTCGCTTTTAAAGCCAGTGTGCCAGAAGCAACCAGCAACCTGTGGACAGAGCTGCCGGTGCCTCGACTGGATCTTACAGTCTTCTGTTTTAACGGTAGTGGTAATATAGTGCACCCTCCCAACATGTGGATATTAAAAACTCATTCATATTTTATTGAACCTCACTCAAGCTTCTCTTGCTCTCATCCTTGTACGTACATGTCTGCGAGACAGGTGGCAAGGCCCAGCAGCACTCCTGCTTGACTGGAGTACTAAACGGCTGACTCGTTGACTGACTGATTTGCAGGCGTTCGTTACTAACAGGTCACAGCCGCTGAGTGACTGGTCGACCTCCTGTTTGCCGCCTGCTGAAGTCATTCGTACGCGCCTTTTGAAATGATCACAGTTAATTGTTGTTATTCTCACCGTGAGTGTCTGTCCTCGAGTGAGCTAACTAACGGTGACTCAGCAGCAGTAACAGAAGTAACTGTGCCACTCAGCACCGCCGGTTGTAGTCTCACACTGACTCTCACACATGCAAAACTATAGCGCACACACACACACACACACACACACACACACACGCCTGTATACGCTTCCAACAGGATACGCATACTGAGAGGGTGTATTGTACAGTAACAGCATCCCCCGGGGGCGATTGTGCCACCTGTGCATCAGCTTCACAATCCTATTGCCGTGTGTGTGTGTGTGTGTGTGTGTGTGTGTGTGTGTGTGTGTGTGTGTGTGTGTGGTTTACATATTCAGATGTGCTAAGCTAGCATTGTGGTGCATGTGGCAGGTATTCGCCCCATATACAGAGCGCTATAGGTTACAGTGCAGTGCCATAAGCTTATATATGACAAGAGCATGTTATCGTTGAAGTGTGTGTGTGTGTGTGTGTGTGTTTGTGCGCAGATATTCTGTCTGAAGGTGGAAGATAAAAGGTTTATGTGTCTAATCCAGAGGCAGGTTTCTAGAAAGCTCTGCGACGACGCCATATAACCTGGATTAGCAGAACACACAAAGGTGGAGCTGGAGGAGGAGGAGGAGGAGGAGGAGGAGGAGCCACGTCTGAGGCTGGAGGGAATAAATGGGTGTTAGATTGGAAACTAGTGTTCACGCTGCCGTACAGCCTCCGGCCAGCAGCAGATTAAAATAAGATGAAACTCCGATGATCCCTGCTGGGGTATCGGGGCGGGTTCAGCAGCACATAATGGGAATCAGCAGAGGAACATTTTTCACAGGGAACTGATGTTTGGGTTCTTTTTTTAGCAGGGTTGAGCCAATCAATCAGCCATAGATCATAATTGGCTGACAGACATTTTGAATAGGTCATTTGGCGTCTGATGTACGATTCAGCATCTGCAGCTGTCGCTTTTATATTCCAAATGTAGAAAACATAGTAAAATGTCTCGCTCAAAGAGGTCTGTCGAACACGTCAAACGTTCACTTGTACTGGATGTTGTTGTAGAACGTGTTCACAGATGTTGTACTTGTGTTATTTATTGGTTTCAGCTGGAAGTGTCAAAACACACGAGTCATTCATTTCACAGCCCGGGCTCAAGCCTCTCTCTTTCTGATTGGATTTTGGACTTTCTTTGGCAGGTACAGATCAAGTAGTGAGAATACGTAGTGTCACATCTTTAATAGAGGTATTGAACATAAGTGTCTGCTCCGTTCACTCTCATTCTCTTTCCATTTGTAGCTGCATTGTGAGATATAAAGGAGTTGTATCATTGGACCTGTGGATAATACAACAGTGACAGGTGGAGCATCAGGAGCTTATAACATTGATTTAAATGTTGATATAGAATTGATGAAGCTAGGATTGTCTCAGTGACCTCAGATTGTCACTGACAGTAACTGCACTACATGACTCAGCAGCAGACCGGCTTAATCAGTTGATGGGCAGTTAATCAGCAACTATTTTGATAATCGATTAATCAATTCATTCATTTCTTTAAGTAAAAATGCCAACCGTTGCCCAGTTCCAGCTTTTCAAATATGAATAATTGCTTTATGTCTTTGTCTTATATGAAATGAGTCATTCTGGGTTTCAGGGTTTTGCTGTGTCAGTTTGGGCTTTGGGAAAACTGGGATTGGTTTTTCTGACATTAGTGGATAAATGATTCATCTATTTAATGAAGAAAACAATAAATTACAAAATGGTTGATGTATTATGTTTTATGTTAAAACAAATCGCAGCACATAAATGCAAAAAGAATATTTGTTGTAGATAATTTAGAAACCGTGTTTGAACAACACAGTTTGCCCCCTGGAGACGAATGACAGTTCATTTTTCATGTGTTAATTTGCGTAACTTTATCACAATTCTTTAACACCAATAATTTGATCAGCTGTCAACTATTAAATGAATCGGCGATGATTTTGATAACTGATCAATTGGTTTGAGTCATTTTTTAAGCTAACAAAGGTGTAAATGATCTGACTCCAGCTTCTTAATGTGAATATTTCCTGGTTTCTTTACTCCTGTATGACAGTAAACTGAATATCTTTGGAAACAACACATTTGAGGACGTTCCTTTGGGCTTTGGGAATCACTGACATTACATAGACTAAACAACTAATCAATTAACCAAGAAAATAAGACCCTAACATAGATCCAGTATATCATTATCAGAGCTCTCAGATATCGGTATTAACCTTAAAAATCCAGTATCATTTGGACTACAAACAAGAACCCACCATTGTATGAAAATGACTCAATTCTCTTTGTTGCAGCTCACAGTTGATTGTCCTCTTTAACTCTCTTCATTTGTCATCTCCTCCTCCTCCTCCTCCCCCCCCCCCTCCCCATCCTCCTCCTCCTCTTCTCCTTCCTGTCAGATGATGAAACATGCGTGGGACAGCTACAGGCGCTACGCCTGGGGTTCCAATGAGCTCAGGCCCGTCTCCAAGCAAGGCCACTCCAGCAATCTATTTGGTGAGTGCGAGACCATACACACACATACACATGCATATACACACACACACACACACACACACACTCACACACACTCACACACATACACACTTGCACATACACACGCAGGCAAACACACAGGATTGATCTCGTGTCCCTGCCACCGGCGGCCTTGGCCTTTAGATTAGCAGCCAAATTGGCCGTCAGTTAGAGTCATCCATCTATGGATGCCTCTAAATGTCAACTTTATCATATATTTATATTCTGTTTGTGCTACTTGCCAGTTGTTGCTGTCTGTGCTGTTAATGAGTGTGGTGACGTGGGGGCATCTTATTCTGCCCCCTGCTTCTTTCTCTCTGTTTCACACTCAGCTCCTTTCTGATGAATCTTAATTCTCCTCCTGCCTTTCGGTTGTGAAATGATGTCCGCTGGGCCTCGTTAATAACTCTATACGTGTGTGTGTGTGTGTGTGTGTGTCAGAAGCCAAATGAAACTATGACAATAAATGCATCTTTTTCCTTCCTTATCCTCACACACACACACACACACACACACACACACACACACACACACACACACACACACACACACACACCATGTTGCTCCTCGTGTTGAGTTGGCTGAGATCGCTGGCTCAAAAGCTGGACTCAGAGAACAGAGGAACAACGCCAAAGTAAACATAAAGCTAAAAGGAGAGGATCCCACGGATCTGTTGTGACAGCACATGTGCCAATGGCAGAGGATCAGTACAACTCATTAAAACTGTAATACCATGATCACATTTCATCTGCAATGTTATTTGCTTTTCTCCTAATTGTGTGACGAGATAAAGAGACCAGAGACTTGAAAGTGTTTTAGACTGGTTAACATTTAAAAAAAACAAACCTTTAAAAAAATGGATATGTTTCTACCGTTGAAGAGGGAGTGAGCACAGTATAATAACACAATGTTTAATCATTATTGAGACTGTGTACACGTGGCGTTCGCAGGTGTTTTGTGTGTGTGTGTGTGTGTGTGTGTGTGTGTGTGTGTGAATACTGTAATTTATTCAGACTGATTGGATTAATAAGAAAGGGAATTGGTTTTTAATTTGTTAAGATCTCTTTCTCTCTGTTGACCTAATTAAAGTCTCAGTGAGAATATTTGTTTGGATACCTTCAGCTCCAGGTGTGTGTGTGTGTGTGTGTGTGTGTGTGTGTGTGTGTGTGTGTGTGTGTGTGTGTGTGTGTGTGTGTGTGTGTGTGTGTGTGTGTGTGTGTGTGTGTGTGTGTGTGTGTGTGTGTGTGTGTGTGTGTGTGTGTGTGTGTGTGTGTGTGTGTGTGTGTGTGGGGTGTATGTGACAGTTTAGAGTAGTGCCGTTGCAAGCTCTCGACTAAGATAAGATGACATTCATGTGTGAGAGTCAGCTGTGCCTCCGCTGCTGATAAGAGCGGTCTCTCGACGCCAAAACACACTCGCTTACTTGATCTGGTTTGAATTGATTATTTTTAACTTGGGGGCAGTGGAAAAAAGCTTTATTGTAACTACGGGTGTGAAAAGAATAGATTCACCTGTTCATGATTCTTTTTTTAAATGATTTTTTTGATTCCTGAGTTGATTTTATGAATATAAATAACTACCTTAGCTTGGTGCAACACATAAGAGGAATTATCATTAACATGCTAACAGAAGCTAGCATCGCTGTAATATTATTGTAATAAATAATACATTTTTATTCCCAGATGTGCTCACATTGCTAACTCAGTCTGTTGCTTCAACACCGACAGGCTATGGCAACCTCAAAGGGTCAAAACTCAGACTCAAAATTAATTTTCATTTATTCAAATTGGTAAAGAGACAACAATAGCAACGAATATACTAGTAGAAATGACTGATGATGATGATGATGATGATGATGATGATGAGCACTAGCAGCTAAATGTGGAGGTTCAGTTCAAAAAGGGTTTTATTTACCACTTTTATAGCCGAAATATGTTTTTCTCTTGGTCTTATCTTAAAAAACAAAACAAAAATTACAATAAATGATAAAAATAAATGATAAATGGGAGAAAAGCTTCCGGCCTTCACGTATCACCGTATAACGTTATTATAGCTAACATATTGGGCAAATATTTTACAGTAAAATAAAAAGTAAAAAACGAGTAAAACAATGTTGACTGTACTCAGATTCCCTACATGATCTCTAAAGAAGTTGTTTCCATAGAAGTACCTTGATTGAAACACACAACTCGTCACACATAACAGTGTTTGCCCTGGGGAACATGCCGAAACCCCCACTAAGTCTATTCCATTATACAGTGTGGGAGATTTACAGGCTCATTTTTAATGATTGCCTTCTTATGTTTAATGAGGAAATTCAATCAGCTTTGTGTAAATTTCCTCCACTGTTTCATTACCGGAATTTATCATACGTAAATGTAGGAAGAGAGAGGAAAGCAGCTGTGTGAATACTAATTGTTAGATTAGCCCGTTCGACTCTCTGTGTTAGACTTTCTCTCTGTTTCTCTCTCTGTATCCATCCCTCATGTCTGTGCTGTAGGAAAGTAAATAGGTTTTAGTTGGTCGCTCCAGCAGACCCGCTTCCATCAGTAAATAAGACAGCTTTGCCCCAGGGCCTTGTCACTGCCGTTTCCAGCACCTATAGAACAAGATGTATGATGATAATATTAGCGTGACCTGGAATATTATGTAATGAAGCCACTTTCCATACCTGAGGCTGTGTCCCTGATATACAGTAGCCATAGGATTGCTGGTTCTGCTATCCAGGAGAACGGAAAGATTAAAAAAACCTTCGCTAAGAAGTAGTAAGAAGGTTCAGAATGTCCTTTCAAAATAATAAATCAATGAACATATTACAAGACCTACCTCCTTGATCTTTTAAAGTGTTCTTTATTAATCATTAAAAATACAGAGGAAAATACGAATAAAAGGAGAAAAGTTGTTGAAATAAGCAAAAGACTCCGTTTGAGAGGAATAAAAGTGAACCTCTCCACTGCTCATTTTCAGTTTTGTTTTATCTTGGCTTGTAACTTCCTGTGTTGGTTTTTAGAGCCATGAGACTGCAAAAACTTCTCAGATTGATATATTTTAATCTGACAAATATTTTCTTTCAGAGTTTCCTAAAGCCTAAATTGACCAACAGTCCAAAAACCCAAAGATATTTACATTATTATCTTTAATATCTTTAATTATCTGCTTAACAGCACTACTTGTCTCTTCAAAATAAAATACAAAAATATGCCATACTGAAGATAACTGCTGAGGCCAGAGAAGGTTGAGCTATCAGTTTTAAGGTGTGCAAGATGGAGCTGTTATTTCCAGTAAAAACAATCTTCCATAAAGCCTGGACAGCCCAGATCTGTTCTCTTTAGGGCTGTTGAATATAAGAAGGCTGCAGATGGGTTGCATCCTTTCTGGGGGGAGATTGAATTTGTTCCCTCTGCGGTGTTTTCCCTGAAGGAGGACAACTCCTTGGTCTCAGACGCCAGCTGTGCTGTCAGCTGTTTGCTTCTCCAGTGTGTGTTCGGCTGCATATTGCACCAATTCAGGGAGGTTTTAATGTATCATAGTGTTTACTGGATTTTTTTGGTTTGTAGTAAACTTTTTGCAACGTTTTCCAGCCACTAAATACATGAATACACTCACTGCTCCAGCTTTTAAAATACTGTCAGCCCTCCACATGGTCTTAATATCTGGATTTGTTCATGGACCCTGATTTCGTATCTTCTTGAGTTTACCTAACATTTCTTATTACTAGCTGCAACCAAAGATTATTTTTTTCAATTAGCTGATTAATCTTTTGTCCTTAAAATGTAAGAAAATGGTAAAAAAAAAAAAGAAAAAAAAAGCCGAATGTGGTGTCTATAAAATAGCTTTTTTTGTCCGATCGTCATACTTTAAGAAATCCTAAAATCCGTCTAACGTTTAAGCAGGAACCAGTAAATGTTGAGAATGTTATTAATCACTTATCACAATATCTGTTCTGCTAATCGACTAATCGATTAATCAACCGGTGATATCTTATTCCTTTCCCTCTCCCTTCCCTTCATTCATCATTGATAAAATGCACCCAAATACTCGAGACTGATGAGAAATAAAATCTGAATTCTTTCCCAGGTTGGGAATTTACCAGCAGCCATAGATCTTCCCAAAATGTTGGCAGGCAACTTTGTTTATCTTCTCAACCAACTACTTTGGCAGACAACCAATGATTTGGCTAAGTTTTATCAAACAGGATTACAAAAAATATTTTCTTAACTCAAACACTTAAATAGTTTAGCAACATATGAAACCACGTGAGGACACCCGAGCAGTTCTGATGAAGATTAGCTTAATTTTTGAGTTTTAAACTCTTAATAAGTAATAGCTATGGATGTTTTTTTCTTATTTAGTTCTGAATATTTCATGTTATACAGAAAAACATAACTTTTATTTTATGTAGACTCTTATTTTGAAGGACTTTCAGTGACATAATAAGCCTTAAAAAGTTCAGATATTAATAAACATTACAGGATGAAAATAAATGTTTGAAAAGCACTCTTTACCATATATAGTACTGTAGATAATCTGTCTGAGTTGATTCATTTTATACAGTTCATTATTGGGGATAGTTTAAACTCAACATCAAAGTGACATTCAAAAACAGTAACGTATTGTATATAAAATGTAAAATGAAGTGTCCTATTCCAATGATAAATGAATTGCAGATTGAGTGGCTAACTGAAGGGCAGACTGATTGCTGTTTCATCCATATAGACTCCTGTAACAGCTTTTCATCGTGCTGCAACAATTTCCGTCACAAACAATATTTCAACCTGAGCGCTCAGTGTTTGCCCGCTTGTCAAAGCGGCTCTATAAATACAGATTGTGCAGCTCACATATGATCTGTCTAGTTACATAGACGCTTACTCATAGTGGCATTTTGGTTGCAGTGTCGATAATAATGTGCAGAGTTGATTGATTAATTTAATAAATGTATGCAGTGTCTACTGTCTCTGTAACTGAAGGGCTGCTCTCTGGCA